CAAGCAGATAAGGGAGAAACGTCTAGAAGCATCGTTCAAATTCAAGACTTCTACAAGTGCTGTATAGTAAGCTATCCATGCGTTACAATACATGTAGTTCCACGTGAAAGGTGCATAGAATAGTTTTCTCAAGTTGTTACTCCACATCGGTTTTGACAGTTGACAGTATGGCACAGTAACATACACACACAGTGATAACAAATGGCCACGCTAAGCTAAATGTACTATACATTACATTTATTCTCCTGTGCATAATCAAGTAAGGAGAAAATATCATAAAGCTGAGAAATTACGAAAAGGCAAAAAGTGAACAAACCGACGATTCCTCAGTAGTAGGAATTATGCCATTTTCGGTACTGTTGGGTAAGTATTTTCGGGATTTTCAGCCAGAGAAGAATTTTCGTTGGTAACGTTTTAGGTACATTTTACCTGGAGTACTTCCGCGTGCAGCCGACCGTAACGGGAGTCCAAATGCCCTCAACCTAACTTGTCTGAGACTGTGCCGATGCACAAAGAGAGAAAGCATAGTTATCCAGCAGCGTTAGGTAATGGTTGATACTGAAATGGTATTTTTCAGGCGTCATCAGTACGTTTTAATTTAGGTCTTATCCGTGTATTATTTAAAGCTTGACGAGAGGCCGACCATAGCTAGGCGGGAGCGGGCAGGGGAATCCCCGCTCTCCCCCCAGGCACGACGCCAGCGTCTTGTGACCATTACTCGGGCAGAAAAAATAGTGAGGATTTTCCCTCGTTTTTTTTCGATCAAAATATGAAACATAAAACAATGCAAACCCCTGAGACACGATATGTTGTAAAACTGCGGGATGGCTGAGGTTGGATGTATTGCGTGTAAAATAAATACCTCGACAAGATGATGATGAAATACCCCCGGTGAGAAACGGGGAAAACAAGCGAGCAGATTTTCCGAGAAAGCAATTAAGGTGTTCTGGTTGGTTGGTGGCTCAGGAGGACATGTGTAGGCATGCTTAATTGTCAGGTCTGAACAAAGGTCTGTGCCCAGCATACTCTAGTAAGTTCTCCCACCAGGTGTCCCAGATAACTACGGTAGATGGAATTTTCCTTTTTTTTCCACAAACATACAGCACTCAAAGCTCCGCCAGGACGCCATTTTGATATGGTGCAGTCAGCAACAGACATGTGGCAAAATCCTCTACGCGTTAAGGGGCCATTATCACCTGTTCGAGTGGTGCGTATTTTTTATTGCCCACCTTCAAAGAAAACCTAACAAACCCTACATGTATGTAGTGAACGCAGATTTATCATTGCCCCGCCAGTGGTAGGCTCCTCGCAATTCAGCCCCTGACTGTGAAGAGAGAGTTGCCTGCCCACCCAATAATGACAACAACTTAATACTTAATAATGACAATAACTTAATGTGTTGGCGGGAATCAGTAGTATTGGGCCACACAGAGTTCTGTTGGAAACGATACATCTGCTGGTACTGGCATGGTACACGTAATTCAGTTGTTACAACCATGAAACAGGTTGAAAGTGCCAGCAGGGAAGATGCACTGGTCTACCAGCAGGGCGAAACTCAGAAGGTAGAAATCTGTCTTTTTCCCTGCACTTTTGATGTCGTTCTTCTTCACGGAACACTGACGACACTTCTGGGAATTTTTACACCTGTCCCCTTAAGTTGCCCTATAAGGAAATATGAAAATAACATGACCATAAAGACACCCTGGGACAAAGGCGTCACGGCCCAAGGCAGAAAACTTTCTTTGCACAACTTCCCTTCCTCCAGGCGGTTCTCCGTACAACTGCCGATCCACCTGGCCCATATGGTTTCTAATATATCTCAGTTTGCAACAGTGAAATGCAACTCATAGCATAGGCAAAAAATGAGGAAAAACGTGACACAAACGTATTACACTTGTTAACACATATACAGCTGAACTTGACTCTTGTAATTCGAATGCCATCTCGTTTCAGTGGATACAAGTGGGTTGATCAAGGGAAAGGAGTTGCCATGGAGTCTGAATAAACTCTGGACCGGTGGAACTCAAGTTGTCATCATGGCTCTGGTAATTATAACATTCACTTGTTACTTGTCACTGACACTCACTGTGCATAAATACACCAGGAAGACAAGTCTTGAACTACTGCTACAATGTCTTGATGCATCAATCCTAGAGGAATGTTTCTCATCTTTTAAATGAGGGTTGAAAATGGGGGCTGGCATACGCCTGTACCTGATTGATTTTGCATCGTCATTCCGAAGTGTCGGTAGAATGACAGGTGATCTACCCCCGAGGCGTAAACAAACAATTGAGCGGCGCCCCTCCAAATTCCAACGCGTGAAAAAATTCATCGTATTGCTTGAATGAGCAGGGATATGGTGCTCATGTCCACATCAGCTTGTATCACAGGCGAGAACTTCTTTGTGGTTAATCTTTCAAGTCATGCCTCTCAAAGCTGACGCCCCTCCGATCAAAAACCACGGAGGTCAAAAATGTGATTTTGTACCTCCATGGTTCATTTTTCACCTCCATGGTAAAACATCAAAAGCTGTCCCAAAGTGCATGTTGCCACCCACACCAATGGATTTACGTGGGATTAACGAAGTGGAGATAGATCGCCTGTGCGTAGCTTGGGCGGGGTGCATGCCTGAGCGACTGTAACGGTCAGTGAGACAAACCAAGGAGGACAACACATTAGATATTGCTGTGACTTTTCACTATTCATGGTATGTATACATATATGAAAACTATGTTAGTAGCTTTGTCTCTTCATGTCCAAAACAAACCTTCGAAAAGCCGAGTTGTCAGTTCTGTCTGCGTCTAAACACTTAATGCAATGCTGTGCAATGTGGTTTTCCAACCCACGCCCCTATCTGTTCCATCTAGAGCTCTCTCCGTCAAAAAGTGAAAGTAGAACTGGTCAGTCTCTGCAGAGGCATACGTCACTTTCGCTCTCTTCCCGCCCCCGCCAGAGGTGTCGTCATCGTTCGAAACTAGGAGAAACTTGAACAGAAAAAAAGCGGAACTGCCCGAGAGAAGGGCAGGGCGTTCAAATAAAAAAAGAAAGGTCAACAGGTCACCATGTGGCATTGTTGTATTCCTTCCCGTGATCAACCCATTTGTATCCATGGAAACGAGATGGCATTCGGATTACATCAGTCAAGTTCAGCTTCAGTATGTTCAAAGTCACATGTTCCAACTGACGACGGAAAAAGTTTACTTTATTACCTCTTTTAAATCTCTTCGGTGCCCGACAAAGTTACTAAAGTAACTTTTTTTCTTTTGAAGGTGAATGGACAATATAAGAAAGACAAACAGCTTAAGGTCTCAAAAAATGGTTTGTAGTGCACTATTTTCATACTTGTGAATTAGGGTACAGCTTTATTCTCATGTATATCTGAAAAGTCGTGTCAGGAGAGATGAAAGACTAAGGAAAGCCTGTGGATAGTTATGACGTAAACGGCCAGGAAATGCCGATTGTTTTTTTAATAAATGGGCATTTCGCCCTTATTAGTTTATTACGTCGACGGCGGGTCGATTGACATGCTTGTTGTATAAAGGGTGACGTAGCAACGGGATCGGCTACTTCAGGTGTGGCAAAGGACACATTTACTTTGAGATAAGGAGATATCCGGTTTTCCAAAAAACTGCCGGCTGGGCCGGCCGGACAACGACCTGCCCCAACTTCCGGTCTCGATCATGTTTTAAATTTTCTCTGTTGTGTACACCATCGATATCGCCTTTAACGGTATGTACAAGGGACCTGGAAGGTGTAACTTTTAAACACATAAGATAAGCATTCAGCGTATCTGTTAATGTGCACAGGGAGACTACTAATCTCTACCTTGGTTGCCTAACATGTAACTGCAGCTGGCTCAACTTCGCTAGCAAATTATTTAGTCAGCCCATTTCTATTCTTTCAGATAGCCCAATGAGTCTGATCATGGAGACTAGAAGGGGAGACCAGATGAATTTTTCGAGTGTTAAGTTTTCGACCTCATGAAATGTGGATCCCACAATGATCTTTCCAAGAACCTGACATACCACGTGATCATCCGATCGCGCGTGAGATTAGGGGCAGCTGTACAATTGCGCAATCACATGTTCCTGTTTCATTGGGGTGGGTCGCACCGACGCACCTGCATACTTGGAGTAGTTGTAAACTCTCCGTATTTTGCTGGTTCTAGTTCAGCAGATCTGCGGGAAGTGTTAAAAGTTTTGTAGAATGTCAGCATGCTTTCAGTGGCGGCTAAACTGCTACATCTTTTTACCATTGTGCAGTGTCAAAGTATCGCAAACATCGGTCCTCCGAGGCCACCCGTGACCGTGCAATTTATCGTAAAGTGCCCCCGGGCCCCTTCCACAGTTCTTTTTCTTCAGGTACAAATTGAAGAATGCATTTAGTGTCATGGAGAATGCATGGAGAAACCAGTGCTATGTCATTGTAGTGTCATCATGGAAAATTACACGGCCCCTAGGTTGTCCGCCCTTTTATCTTCACTTCAATGGTCCCCGCGCTGTTTTAGAACTGACGCTCTATAGCTCTGGTATCAAATATTCATGCCACCCAGACACGACACGTGACCTAGTTTTAGGTGGCAGTCCCGCCCAGAGTAAATACTTTAAGTCCAAACCAACGAGTGACGAACACAGAAAAAAAGAGCTGTAATGCTATAGTGATGATCTTCTTATTCTGGAATTCTTTATTTGAATGTGTTAACTTGCTGGTAGCATGTCTGTAAAGAAATTTCTTTTGTCATGTTGCTGCACAGTATGTTGCATCATGTGTGTCTGTGTGCAGTGTGTGGCGCTGTTGTTTTCGTCGTACTCTAAAAATACTTCGGGGAAGTTGGTGACGTTTTGCTGTTTAATTGGTTGACAGCTATCACGTGACCTCAGCCTTAACAAAAGTGTGCATAATTAAGACGTCACCGCTGATATGGACCAATCAGAGCGCAGAGCGGTGATGTCGAAAATTTAAGGGGGAATTCCCTTAGCCTTTTCCGAGAAGAAGCTTGTTTCGGGGGTATATAGGCAGAAGGCTTCAAAAATATCTTAAGTTTGAGCCCGGGGATTCAGTGCTGCGTCACTACCGTATGGTTGCTTGAGACCTGCAGAAGAATTGACTTATCCGAAAAACTTGTAAGTTCCTTTTATTTTTTGTCGAAAACGTGACGTGTGGCCGTGCACTAGGTTGGTTGGGAGGGGGGCATCCGAGTTAGCAGAAGTTTTACCGAAAGGAGAACATGAAAAATGTGCGCCGTTTTGTAGTTTTCAGCCTCGTGCGCCCCTGTTTTTCCCCAGGCCGTGGCATTATTGTGTCCCTGATCGCATGCCAGTGTTGTAAGTGACTTGTAACGTTAACCCGAAAAGTGCACGAATGCACCGATGGCGAATAACTACAAGTTAGTACTCGTAACACCGAGCCACGTTGCTTGCAACGTCCTGCTGGGTGCGTAGTGGCAGGGTGCGGCCCCGGGATCCAACCGCGTGCTCCCGGTCACGTAGGCGGGGACGCACGCGCCCGAACACGGGCTCGCTGTGTGGGCGGGCGGCCAGCGTTCTTACAGGACAGATTTGGCGCATGGCGCAAGTTTCAAATAATAGGTCACACGAAACTGTTTAAGTTCAAAATTATCCGAATGTTATGCCAGTCTTGCCCCGGGACCATTCTCAAACCTAAATCAGTCGTTTTTCAGCTGCAAATAATATGCAGAAAGACGACGACCTGTTGGCTCTTTCCCCAATCCAGAACCCAGATTTCTTTTGGCTGGATTCGTTTTCTGCTGATATCGTATAAAGGTAGCAGTAGTAGGACTCAAGCCTGAGTCTCATGAGTTTCTCGAATGTTTCTTACAGTGTCTACACGTTCAAGTGTCTTGTGACCTTCACAACGTTTCAACACAACTTTTGCAAGCTTTACACGGGAGGATCGATCTATCATCACAGTCATGGCGGAGTCACTCAAACAGGTGGGTGCAACACTTGTCTCCCTGACTGTCTCCATACGTACTTAGAGACATTTTGGTAAGAAGAAGAAGAGGTAGTGCGCTCAGTTCCGTAACGTATGCTTAATTCAGTTTTAGAGCGTAGAAAAATGGCTGGGTGTGCTTCAGTGAGATCAGATAACAGAGAAGCAAAACATGAAACTATGGTAATTCCCATGTCTTGTTGAAGTCTACAAGATGCTCATGATGGAACCTTCAAGTAACACTTGTTTACTTGCAAGGAATTGGAATGCCCTGCACTGTTTCATAAAGTTCAGATGGGCAATCTTGTGCCCTTGAGAACATGAAGACAATGGCCGTTGCCTCTGGCCATCTATCTTGTAATGTTGTTATTCATTTTAGACTTTTGGTATAGTGAGCTGAGGCACACGTTTCAATATTGTTTTGAAAATGCATATGACACCTTCCATCTGAGGCATAAAGCCAAGTCATAACAAGTATGAAGTTTGTAGTGATGGAAGGTACCAGTTTTCTTCTCTAAAGGTAAGTTTGTAAACAGGTGTTGTTTGAGTTGGCCTGAGTTCAAATTCTGCCCAAAGCAAAGTATGAGCCTGAATACTGATCAAACACAATTACCTCACCCAGTCTGGCTGACTTTGCTCTCATTGGTGGAAGTATAATCCTGTGATCTGATTGGTCAGCATGTACCCCTATTGCATCATGGGCAGTAACCATACCTATGTCACCATAATGATTTGTCAATCAAGTAGCTAGGAGAATGGTTGCTCCACCCACATGGCATGGTCCACTTTTATGTTGTTCTTCTGTCAGTCAAGCCCTATGCCCCACCCACTTGCACTCCAAATATAGAGCTTTGTGTGCTCATAGGGATTTGAAAGGTGGTCCACCTGTTTATGCAAATTTTTTCTTGGAAGAACACTTTTTGCAAAAACACAATGCCACTTCGGGCTTCTTAACCGAAGCGCTGTCCGCCCAGACCCCAGATGCAGCCGGGTCTTCCAGTGAGTCACACCTGTACTTTCTCCTGTCTGAGGGTTTTTCTCCCTTTTTTTTTTGTTTTTTGTTTTTGGTTGTTCTTTGGGTTCTTTAAAGGATTTCTTTACCAACCTGAGATTTTTCTTTCTGAACTGGACTGTCTATACTGAAATTTTGTGGGAATACTGCACTTTCACCAGATTTAAGTTCCTCTTTTGCCAAATGTGGAGTAGCTCTCACTTTTTTCCTTCCAACTTTCCCACCATGTGTTGGTGACATGCAGAAGTAACACTTTTTTGTACCCTCAATCACTGATACTTTGGTTACACAGTTTTGAAATGCTTCATGAAGCCTTTTTCATTTTATTTCTCCAGGCTATTGACGACACCACCCTCGACTTGGGTCAGTTTCTGTCCAACTTCCCCATTCCCACGCCGGCACAGTTTGCGATTCCACCGCCGTCAGAAGCTCTGTTCCCCCCGACACCGCCCACCTCACCGCCGAACAACATGTCCAGCACCTGGGGAAACATCAAGTCTGAGCAGCCGTCCAGCTGCACGCTGCAGGGCGAGCAGGCGTCCTTCACAGAGCTACAGACGCCACAGTCCAACTACATGTCAATCCAGAACCAGTTCAGTAAGTGGGCCCTTGATTTATGTTGGTAATTTAATGTTCTTAACATTCTTGAACAATTGGCTGGCATGTAAAGGGGAGGATCATTTGTCATGAAGCTTTGATGACTTCTGTGGAGTAGACTGGGACTTGTTCTGTTTTTTCTCACTATTGTGACAGTGAAATGTCTCCATGGAAGCAAATCTTACCATTGCCATAATGTTACTCTGACTACCATTTTCTATTAAGAGGGCATTAAGGCTGTAAATATTTGTTTATTCCGCTATTTGTCCCTCATAAAACTGAACTTGGAATGTTATAGTATTTGGCTCTTCATGTAAACAAGGTTGTAGTCCAACTGCCAGGCCTGTATTGTTATATAGAGTAATTGCATCATCTTAGTGCTGAAGGTGAAAAACATCAGACAATCAATTGCCTGTCTGGCGCCCACCTGTCTGACCTTGCCTCCATTTTTGTTTCAAATCTCAAGAGTTTAAGTACTACTAAAACTCATGTAAACAGCACCATAACTCTCAAGGTATGGTTGATAAGCTAAAAGGATTTCAAGGTATTCAAAGTAATTCATACACAATGTGACATCAACAAAATCTCTCCAATTCATAGATGGGTATGAATAGAACGACTTTGCCTTTCATCCCAGAAGAAAAGCAAAAGTGGCAACAATTTGCTGCAGAAAACATTGGCATTCATGTCTCACCTTCAAAGGCTTTACGTTTGATATATCATGCATTGTGTTGACATTGTCATCCATGTGTGTTTGTGGACTGTGCCCTGGGGGTGTCGGCATTCCTTTGTTGTTATGTTGCAGACTTCGGACCTTGGGTCAGTTTGCAAACACCACAGATAACCAGATGGTGATGTTGATCATACTCTTATTGGCCTCTTATTGTATCATATTTGGGAGAAGTGGGCCCTGGGGTGTTTGTGTTCCCCCCTGCAGACACTTTCTAGGAGCCACTAAAACTACTCTGTGGTAATGAGGAACGTAAGGCCAGAACCTAGCACGGCACAGAAAAACAGTTCCTGGAAAAAGTGCCCTGTTTTTGTTGCCTTAGCTACCTGACACTGACACATGATCCACTTGTTTTGCCCTTGGCCATTGTTTAGGATACAATATTCATGACGCACTGCCAGGTAGTGATGTCTCCACTTGTGTGGTGCTACGTGATAACAATGCATGGAAAGAAATGTTAGACAAAGATATTTTCTGCTGTTTTGTGTGACTGACCCCCGTCTCTGTTTTCTGTTTGTCCCTGTGCAGACTGGTGCAACAGCCACCCCATGAACTGGTCCTACACACAGGTGCGCGGCTTCCTCACCTGGGCAGTTGCCGAGTACGAGCTGCCGCCGCACGAGATCAACTTCGAGCACTTCCGCGTCAACGGCGCCAAGCTGTGCATGATGAGTCGGGAGGAGTTCTCCCTGCTTTGCCCCAACTATGGAGACATCTTGTACCTCTCCATTGGCAAAGTGCTGGAAGAAGGTACTTACATTTGTACATATTTCACTCTCCTGTGTGGGTGTAATGTAAATAAGGGGCAATATCATAACTTTTATCAACATAAAATATGCAAGAAAGATTCTATTCTAATTTCAATTGGTGATATTTCCCACTGGAAAACACCTAAATGTAAGTAGACTGCAAAAGGTTTTCTTCCATAGTTTGTACATTGAACTGTCTAGCCCAACTGCATTACTCTTCAGCCTTGCAAGCACTTGTTGAGTGATAACTCTAAGTCTACTAACTCACTAACCATATTAACCAGTCATACTCACCAGCTGACCTGTTGCCTTTCGGCTTCTTGCAGCTCAGTACCTCTATGACCCAACCCCTGCCTTCTGTGAAGGCCCCAGTGACACTACTATGTCAGAGTCAGTACGTGCTATGCATGAGGAGATGATGAACATGGACTTTATCCAAGCCCCTGTGGACGGTAAGTTCATAGGTTTTTCAACACAAGCTAGCGGGCTATATTACTGTAAATTGGTTTCTATAGTGTAAAGAACATGATGATTTAGATTCACCTAAGGTCCAGAGTTGCATGGTAATTTCAAGCTTGGCATGCAATATATTGTTGATCATTCCTTTAAACGTAAACTCCATTGATTTACGTAGAAGTTGTTATTTTGAAATTTATAAATGTCTGACCCCCATTTGCTGACATGAATTCCCCTGTTTCTGCAGACCTGCCCATGCAGGACCTGTTCCCAGACTGCGGCGGGATCACCGCTGACGACATCGACGTCAACGACAAGTTTGATGATGTCAACGTTGAGCTGGGCGACTTCCCACCCAGCCCGACCTCCACAGACGAGTCCTACTCATCCATGTCACCCGGACGCAACTCACCGTACTACTGTGGCAGCGAATCAGGTGTGTGTTCCCACAGAACACTTCAAATACTTACAGCTGTGTTCACTTCAAACTTGTCCAGTGCATCAGACTTCTGAGTGCTAGAAGTGCACAGTATCATAACCTTCGCTGCTCTTGTTTTGTCAGACTACGGTAGTGGTGACCAGACCCTGGGTAACCTCTTCATGCCACGATATGAGACAAGTGACGGGGACTCCGACCACGACAGCTATGGATCCTCTCCCCGCAGGAGCTACCCAGATGGTGGGTACAACATGCCCTTTGTCACTTTCATTACTGAATCTGTGCTTTTTGCCTTTAGCTGTTTCATGCTTTGAAGGAATGCGTTTATTTAAGTTTTCTTTTGTGTCACCTGCAGAGTTGCACATGTATGACTCGGACAAAGAGGTCAAACCCACGGTGGATTTCTCAGTGCAAAATGCACCGATCAACATGAAGATCAAGCCCGGCGGTGCCCCCGAGAGGAGGGCCCGCGGCCGCCCGAGGAAGGTGCGTCCCCCGACCGAGGAACTGCTCACTACAGGGAAGAGAGGACGCCAGCATAGTAAGTATATTATAGTGGTCTACCTTTATGTCAGGTGAATGAATTTTTAGCATGCTGGGTTCTTGTATGTAGACATGTGACTGCAGAGTGACTGACCACATCTTGTTTGTGTCTGCTGTAGGCAAGGGCAACCATCTGTGGGAGTTTGTGAGGGACCTGCTGAAGAACCCGTCCACCAACCCCAAGGTCATCAAGTGGGAGGACAGGCGGGACGGCATCTTCCGCTTCGTCCAGTCCGAGGCCGTCGCCAACATGTGGGGCCGCAAGAAGAACAACCCCAACATGACCTACGAGAAGCTGTCCCGTGCTATGAGGTGAGCTTATGTCTTTTGTTATTCTGGGCTAATGTAAGCAACTATGATGTAACCGATAGTTTTTAACTTTTACCTGTTAACTTGTGCTTGGTCTGAAACAATCTGTGCATGTAGTACTCCTGGAATATTTCTACTGACTCCAAAGCTTAGACAAATAGAGACATATATAGTTTGAGCATACAACAAGAATGCAGCTGACCTCACTTTCACCACACAGGTACTACTACAAGCGTCAGATCCTGCAGCAGGTGCCTGAGCGCCGCCTAGTGTACAAGTTTGGTCCTGCAGCTACAGGGTGGCAGGACAAGGAGTAGCAGTCTTGTGGTTCCCATGGTAACACTGTTCTGACCATGCCATCCCTTGTGCTTCAGGTATTACTACAAGCGTCACATTCTGGAGCGCGTTGATGGCAAGCGCTTGGTCTATCGCTTCGGAGCCGAGGCCAAGGGGTGGAGGGAGAACGAGTAGTGTTACCATGGCGACCACCATGACTGCAAACATCCCGCAGTTACGGCGATGTTGATCTTACCAGAACGTGCCCATGGTTGCAGTTACATCCATGGCAAAAAGTCAGCTTGGCATTCCCTGGCAAAATTTAACGTGAAGCACCAAGTGTTCACTAGATTTGGTCTTATTTGTATTTTCCTAAAGCAAGTTAGTAGGGTGGTGTGTATTATTGTCAGAAAATATTTGGAATTTTTTTGTGTTTTAAATTTTTATAGGGTTTGGGAGACATTATTAAACATACATATACTTTGTTACTCTTTAAGTTGAGTGCTGTGTAGATTAAACATTTGTTTAGTAAAAGTTATGACAAGTAACTGAAGTAAGTGTTTTATAAGAAAAGTAGAAAAAAATACTATATAGTTAAGTTTCATTGGTCAAGTTATGGCCACATAAAAACCAGTGACTTTTCTAGAATATTGGAGAAGTCCTACATATCATATTGAAGTACCATAGCACACAGTGTCATATATTATGACAACTGTGTGTACTTGTGGGAATGGTTTTTGGTAAGCATAAGTTGATGTTATCAAAGTATCCCCAAACACTGTAGCATTGGAATTTATATCATGAAGTTTGTTTGATGGTTGCATTTAGTTACTGAAAACATAATTTCAATTCCTTTGTAAGAATTTGTATACGGGATTCGTTGATCACTCAATTAATGTCTTAGATTATGTACATAATGTATATATTTTATCAGTTAGAACTTTTATGTAATGCTCTCAAAGGTGTTCAGTTTAAGTTATGTATTTTTTTAATACCTATCTATTATATCAGTCATATGTATCAAACATCTTTACAATATTTTATCAAATTACGTACTCAATGATATGTCAAACACCAGTACAAGAATACTTAATGATTGTAACTGAGTAGTGTGGGATCATTTCAATAGCAAATGTTTTCATCACACGGTGGTTCATGTATCATGGTTCTTTTTATATCAATAAAGGTTAAAAATGGACATTTTCTGTATTGTCAATTTTGTTACTTAGATGACCAAAGTTTAGCCTTGTGTCCCATTGCCCCCTTAAGCTGATCTACGTAATTTAAAGGTTCCCAGGATAGAAAAATATTCATGATGACGTTAAAGTAATGATAATAATAAAGTGATCTCATCCCCATCTTCAACATTTTTTAAAGAACTTATCTGACTGGAGTGCCAAAGTTACTCAATCTCTGTAGTCCTATGGTCCAAAATATTACTGAATTGTTTGATAAATGAAGGAAAGGCTGTTTAAAGCATCTGCGAAAAGCTAATTTATGCATAATAGAACAATTAGGAGGAGAGAATGGAGCTACATGTACCTGTGGGCAGTACTGCATTGAAAACAGGGCACATGCTCAAGGAATAATATAGGTCGAAACAAAAAAATTCCCAACAGAAAGAGGACCAACTGTTGATATAAGTTGCACAGCAAAGCAGTGACCATTTTCCTGTCAAGGATTCATTTCAGTACGATCGTTCCAATCAAACTAGAATGAAAGAATATGGCTTTGCATTTCATCCCTGGACAACATCACGTTTCTTTACTTGCCAACCATGCTACATCACATGTAAGGTTACTTACTAGCATGTAGTGTGCACGCCACCTAGCCAAATGGAATGGTATTGCTCATAACGCACGCTGTATACGTGATTACGTCCAAACAGCACTGCATTCTTCTCTTACCCCACCTAAGATTTTCCTTTGAAATCATCCACCCTAAGTACCATGCATGACTTTCCCTGTTGTTATTAACGTTTATACATATAACTAGCGTTTACGTCTGCCTCTTACCTGTGTCGGATACATAGTCTCAAGCGCTCTTTGACCCACTGGTCGATGTTGACCTTTTGCCCCTATTCTGAGTAAACGTAAATGTTTTACCAAAGTTAACGTGCTGGTGCTTCAACGGTGTCAGTACAACATTATAAACCTTACGAATTAGACCCATAGCCGGCTAACTAGTGCCATGTAGAATCACAAACTCCTATGTCAACGTAGTTAAGAAGACGACCAAAGGACCGTCGGACGAGTCCAAGTGAGTACAATGCCCTTGTGTTTTTAAAAGTACTTATATGATCTATTTTTGTCACCATTACTTGTTGATACTCAGTCACGTTAAACTGCAATGGTTCATGTGGTTATGTCGATTTTGTCAACAGGTTCTGTAATTTACCAATCGCCTTAAAAGGATCGCAAAGCGGTTCTTAAGGTCAAAATATAACCTAGCATCCATCAGGGTTCATGCCAGTGTCCAACATTTGACAAAATATCTTTGGCAAATGGTGTTGACCAATTTATGATGCACTAAAACTACGTTTTCAGACGACGAAATTTGAGCATGGAGTTGCAACGGAGTCTACAACTAGAATTCAGCCTGGTAACATGTGGGTCCAATGGCACCAACGACCCTCATGTTAGCCTTAAGTAAACAAAGCCAAGCGTTAATAATTTGCAGAACAAAAGGTTACTCGTTCTTTCATTCTGGAAAAAAAGATAGAGGGAGCTAAGAATCACGGTGTCATAATTCCCCTATGGTAATATCAATGCCAATAAATACTCCTTTATCAATACAAGGTGATGTATTTGCACAAAGAGCACTTCGTAAAAACACCACTTTAATTATCTATTGATGATGGCAGTTTTATAAGTTGAGGCGTTTTAAATTTGATAATTTCCGTTTATTTCGAGGTCGAAATCATGGGACTGATCCAGGTTATACACCCGTCCCTGGAAGAGTTGGACTACACCCAGCTGTCCGTCCAGGCATCTGTTATAGGAGGAACCATCTTGTTCTTCCTGGTGTTCCAAGTGCTGACCCGTCTGGTGGCCAGTCGTACGGAGGTGTACAGACGTCTGGATACGGCTGGGGATAAGGTGGGCGTTGGGGGTAAAGAGGGGTGACCATGGTGTGTGACCATGATAGGCTTTTTGGCTAGGCTTTGGACTGGATGACTGTCAAAATAACGATCAGGACTGTGAGAAACAAGAAGTAACAGGAGTCATTGGAACAGAAAATATCACAAGAACATTTTCGATAATTAATTTTGAGGCTTAGTGTATTGGAAATTCCAGACAAAGTTCAGCTATGGCATCCATACACGATTAATGATTTGCTGAAAAATCGCTACTTGAAATGGTAGTCTCAGTCCAGGTTACCCATAATTCACAGGTGGGCTGGGTCCGGGCCATTTTGGGGCTGTTCTTCGGTGCTGTCTCCACGGCGGCGGGAATATGGACAATCTTCTGGGACGACTCCGTCAGCACTGATATCGCCATGGCAACCACACCCACGGGGCGTTTCGCGGTGCTCTTCTCAGTTGGTTTCTCAATCTTTGAATTGATACAGGTAGGTCACTGCTGATCATGTTTAAAGCAAACCAAATAAAAAACAAATGACTTGGTAATGTCCCCTGAACAATGCGCCCACTGAAATAACTTGAGCAGGGACACATTCCTTAATTGTATAGTGTGTTGTGTTTTACTAAATGTTGACGCGCCACTACAAGCCTCCGGAGAGCGCTCAGCTGCGGCCGGGGCAAACTGGGGGTGCGTCAGCGGGTGATGACCTTGGTGCTGATTTGGGGGTCCCTAATGGCTGACACGCGAGGTCGGGGCACGCTGGTCCTGTGCATTCATGCCTGTAACTTTTTACGTCTGTAATTACACAAAACAGGAACATATCGTATGCAGCAAACTACATCAATTTAAAAAAAGGAAAAGAATCAAGTATACATACTTCGATGTGATAATCATTTTTTCACAGCTCGCCACGATGTCCCTCAGACGCCGTGTGTTCTACCCCATCGTGTTCCTCCACCACACCTGGCTCACCGCCCTCCTGACGCAGGTGCTCTGGTGCGACCGTCTGTACCACCTCACCGTGGCGGGGCTCACCATGGAGATCATCTTACCGTTCGACAGGATCAGCTGGCTTCTGCTCAAAGCCGGGATGAGGAACACTCGCATTTGGGAATGGAACCAGCTTCTTCTCATCCACACCTTCTCCCTCCGGAACATGGTGGAATGCTACATGTGGTTCCACACCTACAGGAACTGGCGCCGGATCTGGTGTGTGACGCCCCTGCCGCTGCTCTGTCTCGTGTACGGCGGGCTGGTTCTCACCACGTTCTGGATGACGCCATTTTGGTGGATCGAGAGCATCCGGAGGTATTCTGTCACCTTCAGTGCAAGAAGGAACCTACGCGGTAATAACATCGCTAGCCGCAAAAAGATACAGTAAACATATGTTAAGATAAAGTGTGAATATCGCTACTTTTCAAATAGATTGTGCATTATATAATTGATACTTCTAGAGATCTGTTCTGAAATAAATTGTTATATATGAAATGTTTTGTTCTATTCTCACATGTCTGTCATACGAATGATATACGTTTGTGGGATGCTTATGTGTGAGGGTCCTGATGGAAAATTGCTAAATTTCACTGAAAATGTCAAACAGGGTGTGCATTGTGTATTCTCCTGTGGGTATTGACTTGGACAACCGTCACTCGAATAAACAAGGCATGTCGACCAGGTTACTCTTTGACAATAGCCAAAAGCCTCAGTAGCGGGTAATACTTTGTAGCCACACCAGTTCGACTTCTTCCACATTCTAGTGAAGAATGGCGAAATCTCATAGCACCTTGTGCCGTGTATGATGACCAGCTTGGGTGGTTGTATATCAGGATGATGGAAAGTGCTATCCCGAGTTTAATCGCATAGTGGCGCTGTGTACACGGCATTCTGTAATTACCATCGCTAAAGACCAAAGGTCATGGGTGACTGTGGTTCCTGGTTAGCCTAAACCACAACGTCTGCCAAGACAAACCCACAAGTCCATGTTAAACGGTAGCATCTCTAAAGGTAAGTTTGTTTTCAGATAGATGATTGTGGAAATTTGAATGGGAAGGATCCGCACAATCAACTTGTATTTAATGGTGGCCTATTGCGCATCCAGACACGAAGCTGATATGTCGAGGAATGGCGATGATTTGATTCGACGGTCTGAACAGAAGATATTTGCCAGCTACATCATCTGCTAGTCTGTGTTACCGTAAAAGGAATAAATATTCTACCGGGGTAGGTAATACGATATTCTGGCACAATGAGTCATACATTGTTGACCCAGGTACTGACGTCATCCCTATACACAGGGGCGGTGCCATGTTTCAGCAGAAAACGTTAAGGGTCTAATCGTAACTACCAAAGAGCTGGGAAAGGATCCACACCTACACACCAAGGGGAACATTCCACACACGGTACAACATGAATGACGAAAGGAGGATGGTCGAGGCCGCCATGTCTGGAGACACACAGACGGTGCGACTATACCTCGGTAGGAGCAAACCATTTTCAGCTAGGCCTAACTGGCCTAATCATACAGACTAATTCCTTTGTTGACCAACAGATGAATTCTATTCAGTCTTTCTGGTTCACCCTATATTCGCCAAGTTACACATACATAACATTGTCATAAATACATGCACTTCTTTCAAATTTCCAGCACATCACCAAGGTGGTTTGCAGCTTAAATCTATTCATCGAGCCTTTGCCATTGATCAGCACTATGGCTAATTCATACGTACAGATATTAAGATGGAGTATATTTTCCAGACAAAGGTGTAGATATCAATTACGCGATCTGGAACCGCAACTCGGCCCTGCAAGCCGCCTGCAGAAGGAGCAGACTGGACACCGTCAAGTTCCTCCTGTCGTGCGGGGCAGATGTCAACAATGTTACAGGTGTGCTGGCTCAGTGCTTTCATTCTCCGTTCTTCAACAGAATATTTCACGATAACAAACACCAGTGCACGGTAGTGCACAAATGGTTCACAGTAGATTCACAACACACATGCCCATTGTTAAATTTGAAGGCCCACGAAAGATAAACGAAAAATGTGAGACCATGCGTTATACATGTTTGTTTACGTCTTTGGGGGAGGGGCTACGGGGGGAGGGGGGCTTCACCTTTGACATACAAACCAACAATTCATCACAGTGCGCAAGCCGACAAGCGCAGTTTTATTTGTGAACCTCCTTATATACCATTTGATAAACTTATAATATAACTTCGAGGCTGATCTATATTAATGGCACCGCAGTTTATTTCAATTACCCTACGCTGTTACCACATTACCGAATTTGTGATCACGTTTCTGTCACCACTTTCAGGGATATATTCTACTTGACATCATTGACGTGGTCTTTTTTTTCTCATTTTAAAGGCGAAAGGTGGTCCAACCAGCCCACTGCACTGATCTTGGCCGCAGAGGAAGGCCAGCTGGAAATAGTCAAGTTGCTGTTGTCACATGGTGCAGACGTCAACTTTACCGACAGGTGGCGCTATTCAGCTCTTCTCTCAGCAGCCGCCAAGGGGCATGTGGCATGTCAGGAGATCCTTATCGGTTCGAAAGCTTTTCCCTATATTTTAGAAATTTTTGTGTCGAGTACTAGTGTTGTCATGTTGCTCTGTCCCGATAGGTAAGAGGAATCGATCGATCCGATTGTTTTCGATGGAACTAAATCCTTTGCTATAGTTTGAATGCTGCAGCACATTTAAATAACAGTGAAACATCACACACCATGACAGTCTGCAAGCGGACGCCCTCTCATGTCAACTACAACTAGAGACTAGCGGCAATAAATGCTGGGCGTCCGGTATCCGTAAAACTTTGGAGGAATGCGGTTTTGCTTAGGTATGGCGTCCTGATATATCTCTGAACACAAATCTATCACCAATAATTAACTCCATCAGCCAACGATTGAAACATATTTACACACAAACATTTACTACTGAAATCCACAATGACCATAACAGAGGTACATCTTCTAGTAACAAGTTACGAACGTACCGTTTGTTTAGAAGTATATATAAAGAAGAAGAGTACCTATCGGTCAACAACATTCAACACAGGGTAGCTGCAACTAAACTCCGAATAAGTTGCCACAAATTACTCATAGAAACGGGACGGCACAACCGCATTCCTCTCCAGAACAGACTCTGTCAATACTGTAACATGAATAGAATAGAGGATGAACAACACTTTATTTTAGACTGTACTTTATATTCTAATGAAAGATCTGTCCTTTTTAATCATATTTAAGAGAAGGTCCCATACTTAAATACCTAAATACAAACGATAAATTTATATTTTTGATGCGTCTAGACAAACCCTGTATCACAAATATGATCTGTTCCCACATTTTCCATTGTACAAAAAAGCGAGAAGAAGTTGACCACTCTGTATTAGCTCAGTAACTAGAACACTTTGTATTAGCCTAGTATAGTATCCTTGTATGTTCCTTACGTATGTATGTCTAAGTCAAGCAGTGTATCTTTTGTCTACACTTTTCTACATATGTTTGTTATGTGTCTGTTAAGTCTTGACCTGTACCTAGCCCGCCGTGGCATGAATGTACTATAAAGGTATTTCATTTCATTATTTTCTCAGAAAACGGTGCGAACGTTGACCAGACAGGGGTTGACGATGCGTCTGCCCTCCATTGTGTCACCGGGGAGGAGTTGACCATGAAGGACGCCGATCCTTACCGCATCTCCCCTCAGGTATGACAAAAAACGTAAACTTTGTCACCTTCCCATTTCACCTTTTACTTGTATGTCACCAGTGAGAACAAGCTTAAGGTTTAGCAAATGAGAGTGTCACTATATGTACTTTCAGTCTATGCTCAGTTACACTGCAGCTTCAAATGCACCAGTCAGAATACACGTGTGCATTTCATTGTTTTCCTTTATGTACGTTTCTATGCAGGACTCTCTGCGGCTCTGCAGGTCCCTCCTACGGGCCGGCGCCAACCCCAACACCGGGGACGGGAGCGGGCGGGGGACCCCGGTCCATGTCGCTGCTCGGGGCGACCATGTCGACCTTACAAGGCTCCTCCTAGAAGCTGGGGCAGATATGAACGCCGTGGACTCTCAGGGGAAGAAACCCGTGGACGTGGCTCCGAAAGAGAGTGCCACAAGAGACTTACTGCTCAGTCCCAGCCCGCTGACACTGTGCCAACTGTGCCGGCTCGTCGTGAGGAAAAGTCTCGGGAAAGAACGACTTCACACAATTGACAGGCTGAAAATCCCCACGGCGCATAAGACTTTCCTACAGTTCGACTGAAACTTTTTTGTGTGTGTGTAAGAATTTTTTTTATAAAAATGATAATTCTTGAAATGTAATCTATATATGCAAAATAAAAGCAATGGGAGGTGTAAGTGCTCAGCTTAGTTGTACTGTCTCTGAATCACTCAAGAGAAAAGTCATCTAGCACCAGGGACAGGAATGGTTGTGTGAGGAGCATGCGTTCAGCACCTGGGACAGGCATGGCCATGTGTGAGAACGTCTTCAGTACCAAGGACAGGTATGGTTATGTATGGAAATGCGTTCGGCACCGGGGACATTCCTGTGTGAGAATGTGTTCAGTACCAAGGACAGGTATGGCTATGTATGGAAATGCGTTCGGCACCGGGGACATTCCTGTGTGAGAATGTGTTCAGTACCAAGGACAAGTACATATGTTGTATTATTTAGTGGTTAATCAACGCCCTCTGTGACGATACATTCAACAGAAAGTTTTGAAAACTTGCATTCGGTGGTTTAAAAGACGGATATGTACACTGTCAAGATATACACTTGAAGAAAAATTCAAGCCTACCAGAGAAGACGGGTACATTTGTCTTTTTAAACAGCAGAAAACATACTTGCTCGGTACGAGCTTAAAGCCATTTGCAGTTGCGATGGAAATGTGTACATTGTGTAAGAAGTCGCACATAACATATAAAACATCATGTCTTACCTGCAGTTTTCTTTACGAATGCTAGAACACGCTTTTGCATCGTTTGCTTCGTCGACAAACGAAACTCCACGTATACGTGCCACGGTGTACGTGCTCGTTCGACAACACGTAAGGTTACATGCTTTTATTTATCAAACAAATGTTATCGTTTTGACAACTTTATGAAGTGGAAGACTGCATGTTTTGAACACTTGAAGAAAACAGAGACCATCGTCGAGGAAACCCCTTTACGAGCCTCTTTTCCTCCAGGAACTCTGGGAAAAGCGGCCGTGACCTGTTCCCCGGGGACCGCCGACTATCTTTAGTCGTTAGCAAATATAGATAGACACCAAAATAAACAACTGTGTAAGGATACAATACCATGCGCGCATACACCCAGTTGGGATTATATAGCTATCTTTCTATACGTCCAGGTTATTAGATATTTCAATGATAAATTGAGGTTGTGGTAGTTGCAAGTTCGCAATGTGTTGTCATCATTTCCGCTCCGGGACCCACCGTTGTCCTCTCCAGCCAACCGTTTGGTAGATTTTACTCCGCTGACCTCGTCTGACCTTTATAACAACATGATACCCCCAATACCACCAAACATGCATATGTGACTTGACACTTCCAAACTGTTACAGCAAAAATGTATCGGATAACCAATTAAGCACTTGTCGCTGAGCTCAGGCAGCAGTTAGGCTTTTCTGTTGCCTGACGCCATTGTCAATCTCTTGGTCAGTTTGCTAGATGGAGAAAACTGCAGTCTGGAAAACGACAACGTTTCGAGTCATTATCGATGTAAATAAATGATAATGTCGCGGTGGAAGGCAGAACAATAAATCTTCAAAAGTGTAGAATAGGTAATTAATCTAATTAAAAGATACAAACAATATGAAAAGAAAGAAGGTAGTTAGAGACGTGTACAGGACTGCTGTTATAAGCGGTTTATCGGGATAAAGCCAAAGTTGAGTGATCTCCCCCGCGTGCATCTTACAAACCTAAGAGTCCTTATCTAACAAGAGACCCACAAACATGTCCGCCATCACTAGTGACCCTAACCTCGACCCATGTTATCATATATGTCGGATTAGGAATTATGTTCTTAGATGATTGCTGTAAGTACCGGCTCACACCCTCTGAGCCCGACGTTCACACGTTTGGTCACTGTGCACACATCCGATGTACCACCTTATCCGTTTACATGGCAAAACAACACAGAGGAAACAAGGGTGGTGTGTTTAAACGCGCCCTCAACTCCGATGTTGTGAAACGTAGGAAGTCAGAAAGTATATGATAAAACACTCACTCACTCAAAAATTCTAAAAAATATAAACACAATGTTCGTCTCATTATCAAAACATCGCAAGTGATAACGGAACATTGACATGAGGAAAAGACGCGTGGGCAAGCACTGTACACGCCCACCTACACTAAAGACCTTACAGTGACCATAAACGCTTTGGACACAGTTAAACAGTGGAACAGTTCGGTCATTAAAACAAACGTTATACTCTTGTAGGCTGCCCTATCCAATTGAGTTCAATATATGCCCTCTCACACAGATAAATAAATAGATCATTAGACGACTGAAGTAGAAGTGACAGACCCAGAGTTGGTTTTTGGATGACACGGATAGCCTTGTAAAGATGATCCGACATACCAATCCAGTTATCTTTTGCCAATGCTGTTTTGGCAGATGTAAGAGTACTGTGATGCCAGTGACATCCTTTATGTCGAGGCCTTGTCTCACGCCACCAGTTCCAAACTGTCTGGGTGGATCATTTCAAATTCGTTATGATCAATCGCAATAATATGCACGTAATTTCGTCTAATTGTGGCACCAATACGAATGACACTTCCGTATCTCTTTAAGTTTATGAACAGCACCCTGTCGACACTGGTCAAGCCCTCTGCTCTCGCGAGGTCTCACCGTGTCTCGCGGGGTCTGAAAAGCTGTCAGTTGCAATCCAGAGACCAATCCGTCTTCTATTCTTTTTCAGTACAACTGTAAAAGCCCTGCCAGCAAACACAGGACGTCAGTGAAGACCGTATCACTCTTGATTTAGAATAAATCGTCCACTGTGCATACGGAGATGAGAGCAGCTGTTAAAAGAGGACGCCTGGGGCAGAGGTGGTAATAAGTTGGAGTTTGCAAGCACGCGGTGTGAGAAGCCCACATCTTAACTTGATAAAGTTTAACGATACCCCAGACGCCCCAAAGATCCTTCGGGAAAAGGCGCCATAATTTTCCGTCAGAGTGCGTCACCTTTTGTGGCAACACTCCAAAGTGGTATTTGTAGCGTAAGAAGTATTCCCCTCCCTTCCTATGAGGGCCATACCCATATAATAAACAACGTCAAAAGGAAAGTCATATACCCGAAGAAATAGCAGTTCCCAACAGAGGACATGATGGCTTCTCGCCAGGATTTCCCATCATGCTCTAGCTAGTCTAGGCTTGTTTAAATGTCGTTGTTCAAAACGCCATGCATATGTCATTCTGTCTGAAGTCGAAGAGTCTCACCAACAAGAGGAACACAAAAAGTACAAACCGAATTAATTAAGGTTTCTTCTTGGGGGGTATAACTTAACTTTGGTAATTTCATAAATGATCTAGCACGCATTATATCCATCTTGTTCGAGCCGGCTAGCCATACGAGACATGTGCGAGACAAATGCTACCACTTCATTTGCCCATCACCGATCTGTATTTTCTGCATGCCTCATATTACTATACGACCTATACATATTTTTAGTGTAACAATTGATATAGATGGACATGGGGTGGACCTTTTCTTTTGTTCCCACGTTCCCATCATGCATTGTTCTTCAGTCACGTCACAACAGGACTGCTGCCAAGTTCTCGTCAGCATGGTTCCTTTAGAAAACAGGGCTGTAGGCGGTAAATTCTGTAGACAGACATCACAAGTAGTCGATTGTCCTGTGGACAAATGTATGGAGCCTCAGAGTTTGTCTGTAGGTGTGTGTGAGGTTTGCGAAAGTTCGTCTGACATCACCACGCGAAGTTGTGAGACTGGCCCATCTGGAAATGGAGATTTCTGGTTGCCCGGGCCGCGGGAATGTGCGCTTTTGCCTGTCCCCGGCCATTTGTTGGCGTTCTCGTGACAAGTCCTGACGGGTAGGGTAACTGAGAACAAACACCAGCATTGTGAGAAGGCGGCTCTCGACACACAACGTCTTATACGTTGCCTACAATGTGGGCAGCAGAAGCAAGTGGGGCACTTGTCAGTGTAAACATGAGCGGGGAATGAGGGTACACAGATATCGTTCGCCGCATCACATTCGTATAAAACACCAGGTCTTAAGATAGTATGTAGTGTCGTAAATAAATTGGCCCAAAGTAATTTACTGCCATCTATCTATCTATCTCATAGCCCCCTTCCATTCGATTTTCCACATCTCTTTAGATGCGATCCGGTGCTCTGAGGTACCCCAAAGGAGCCCATGCCTGACAAGGCCTTTGCGTCAGAGGCGCTGGTAATCCCCCGACAGTGCAGTCCGACACTCCGAAGTCTCCCACGAGAGCCTCGCTGCCGAGGTGGTGAAGATAAACACACATGTGGGGTCCGGCATGCGGCCATCCTGACTCGAAAGGACCGGCACATCTATCACAGTTGACCACTGACAAGGCGCTTCCCGGGGCGATACAGCTCCCGGCAGTTCAGCCAAGAGCAGGCAGGAAAGCGGACTTGTCGGGCCCAGACGGACTTCCCCCCGCGGTAGCGTTTTTGTGATGCTGCGCTATCTTGGGTTACACAGTTCGGGCGCTAGCTGAGAGCCAGAAGCGAGGCTCCAGTAAGCAAGCATGCTCTGTACCGCGATCAGGAGGGAAGTGCTTCCTAGCTTAGCGGTCTTGTGCCTGTTCGGAACGCTGACCTTCGCCGATGGAGAACCCGCGGCCGGGAAAGCCGCGTCTCTCGCAGGCCGGGAATTCCAAGGGGCTACGGAGGGGGCACAGGCGGGGGAGGGGTCTGCCTTTACCGACAGTGAGAAGAGGAAGGCCATTGAGGAGACACAAAGGCTGAAGAAAGCAGTAGGCGAAAGGTCAACAGCGTCTTGGGCTGCTGAGGGACTTGGCGCTGTCCTGCCCGAGGTTGAAACTATCAATGTCAGAACTAATGTTCCGGTCACGGGGGAGGGGCAGACTGCCCACGCCTCGCCTTCCCCCAGCCTGGCGGCAGAGACCTTAGCACAGGTCCTGGCACCAGGGTCCGGTCAGTGTGCCTACACCTTCATCGTGCCAGAAACCCTAGCGAAACAGACCTGTAACGCCGCGGACACCGGCATCAGGCAGCAGGACATACAGGCCATGTCCCGCCGGTGGGAAATCATGCAGACCCAGATCGCTCAGCTCCGTAGCGAACTGACCACGCGACTCCTGGAGACGGAGAGGAACGTCCTGAACAAGTCCGCGGAGTTCATGAAGAGGCTGCACCGCGAGGAGAAGCCGAGCGTGCCGCAGCCGGCTCCACCGGACCGTAGTCTGGAGATAGAAATAAGACAACTGAAGGACAGACTGGCCGTCATAGAAGGCTTAAATAGTAACCAAGACAACCTGATAAGGAGTCTTGTACGGGACAGAGAAGAAGTCGACAAAGTACTAACGGCACACGAGACGCTCATTCAGCAACTAAAACTCAGTATGAGGCAAGAGCGAGAGAAAAACACCAAATTCCAAATGGAAGTTCGAAACTTAGTCTATAACCAGAGTGGGACAATTCTACAGCTCTTCGAGCAGGTGAACGCGCTAGGCTCAGAAAGGACACCGGAGCGGCAACCCGAGGGCGGGACTTCCACTCCGCTCAGACATGAAGACATGCAGGTGAGTTTAGTAAAAGTCATCGCAACATAAGACTGGGCAATTTGACGAATTCGAAGAAGCTCACGCTTTTAAAGTTTTGACGGTTTTTTAATAGTGATAATAGAGAAAGGTTTACAGAGATATTTCACAGCCTTTATTACGACAACCCGAAGCCTCTTACACGTCCTCTACAAGGGGATGCTTCCAAACTGGATCCTTTTTCTGTACTACGTGCTGCGTGGGCGTGGTAAGGTAAGAACTGCTCGTCTCGCGTGACCTCGTAGCACTTCTGGAAAGGTGTACGAGGCAGACAGGATCCTAGGAGTAATGTCCTGTAACAGTGGAGAAACAGATAAATATTGGGAGAAATTCCACAACCCCTTCGTAAACGAATACCTGTTTATGACCAAACAAAACTGTTTCGGACAGATATCTTGGGTGCTTGTTGTGCACGCATATCTCTGAAGGACATGGAAACATGAAGTCCAGTTTGACCGAAACCCATAGACACAGTGAGTTGTGTACAATACCCCGGAGAACAAAGCTACTCAAGCAAACTCCAGACATCCCTGGTGAATCGGTGCTAATGAGCATAGTGTCACACATGGGAGTCTGTACATCTGCGCCTTGTGGAGATTAAACGTCTCGAGCAGACTGTCTGCATTTCTATTTATTTTCCAAATGGTCAAGCAACATACCAGCCTGCCATGTAACAGTCTGTCCGGAACACAGACACTGGAAACAACCGTCAAGAGCGTTTGGGAACTTTAAGTAGCGTCCATTTTCGTACATGTACATTGCTGATGTTGTATTTTCTCTCCATACAATGTGTTGTTGACTGTATAGACCTGTAAATGCCTTGAAGCACTCAAACAACACGAGTCTGTTGAAAATCAACGTCAAGGCCAATGTGTACACATCCCGGTGTTTTTACTTAACTTAACGGCTGCTCAACCACTCAGACGGAGTTCAACCTCATCAACCCCTGTGTGGAAAAACACGTGGCACTCCTAACATTCCCCCTGACCTGTGAAGTATGTGTAGATAGGGTTGTTGTATTACAACATTTGAAGATTGCGTTGAGATCACTCAATGGTTGACCCTAACATAAGGGGAGGGGAAGTCGAAGTGAACGTTTGAAACAGCGTCTGTATTTGCAGCATGAGTCCTTGTTTCGGAATCACGGGTTGGAGCACCCCGATGCCATGGAAAGCGTTTAAGCAACAGTTGGTTCCCGCACGCTTTTCCTTTAGTCACGGGCATGGCTGTCATACGAATGACGTAAACTCAGTTAAAAGTCGGATACGTAGTGAAGTGAAGTGCATGTTTTACCGGTAAGCACAGGACATGTCCGTGAAAACATGACATATGTCACGTACGATAACGGTACATATTGACGTCTGTATCGACACACATAATTTGTGCCCTCAATTTAATCAGAGTCTGTGTATAATGTCCTTGATTTAATCAAGTAACTTTTCATTCTCATGCTGAAACTACATATCAGACATGAGGAAACAAACAGCAGTTATGTCTCATAGATTTTAGACAAGGCACGAGATCAAAGGAAGATAATTACTGCTTTTAATAGGCCAACTTGAACTCATATTTCGATATAACAACGACGTTGGCCGTTTCGTAAATATACTGATATTAGGATTCCGGAATGAACATTAATTACATTGAAGTCTGTCTATTTTGTTTGTTTCCCGACATACATCTCCTTACAAAGCCTTCCAGAGCAACCGCTACAGAATCTGTGCTCGTATCTCTGCGTCTCACTCTCAGTCACGGACGTCATACAAAAACAGAAGAATAGTAGCGTGGCAAAAACTGTGTCCTGTAAAACTACCGGAGATAAAAGGATTGTTTCCCAATGAAATAGTTCTCCAGCATCGTCTACTTCTCATGGGGATAGCAAACAACGGGACTACTGATAATCGACCATTGAGTGAGCCCCTGTGCCGAGAAAATCCCTAGCGTAGGAATTCAGACGAGAACGTGACCGTGAGTGACCAGACGATGTTGGCACTTAAATCGTTATTAGTCTGCGGCGTCCTTTCAGCGCCTGCAAATTTCTTTCCGACTGAGTGGACAGTGAAACGTTTGGTCGTTACGGTGACAAGTCCTGCTTCAACTCAGCTTGCGCAAAAAGTCACTGCCAGACAAGTTGGGTCGGTGCCAGTCGTACAGAATGCATGTCGGGGGTACGAGCCACGCGGGGTCTCGGTGGGGCTCGGTGGTTACCCCGCAGCAGTGACTGCGAATAAAGGTCATTTCTCCGTTGAAGTTGGCAAGAACGAGATTATCCTGATCACACTTTGCAGATTGTAACTTTCAGATACATTTACACACTTGGACAATTGCCCTATTTAAAATATACGACTCTGAGAGTTAGAGCATGGAGAAAAAAGTAAGCACGGGCTCCTTGCGACTGGCTTGACTTTTCGGCTGACTAATAGGATCAGTTTAATATTTAACTTCAACGGACGGTGTCTTCTTTTCTACTTGTACACTTACCCAACGCCCAGAATCATCTCTGGCACACAGAGTGATGCCACTTGACCCCACCGATGTACACTGACCGGTTATGTTACGACTTGAAGACCAACGGCAGGCTCCTTGACCCTGAGAGGAGAGAAATCTTATCTCCGATCTCTCACCCTGTAGGACATCACATCCCTGCCCTCTGTAAGGTTAACATTTCACCAAGAGCCAAGCTGCCCACCGCACGGGGTACGGACACACCACACCACACCACACCAAATCACATGCTATACTGGTAGCTGTCATTTGCGACACAAATATAACCTTGGCACCATGTTGGATTGGTCCGCCATTTTGTTCCAGAAATTCACATCGAGTTACTTTCGAGTATCTGCTGACGACACATGGTAAATTTGGGTCATTTAGGACTTTGTACAAGTCAGGAATATCTGGGTTAAGGTCTTGGTCTTTAGAAGTTCCTTCTGTATCCTGACTGATCCTAACCCCCGATCCTTGACCTAGATATACCAGTAACTCAGCCGGAACCGACATCTGCTGAGCCTTTTGAACTTTAGATTCCTTTCTGGTCCCTCGATCAGAAAGAATAAACGCAGCAGGGCCATACATGAAAAACTCCATTTTGTCACGTGATTTTGTACTGTTCCGGATGTGCGGGAGTGTGCGGGGACTATGCAATTTAATGTGCTGCATCGTGCTGTTCAGGTTTCCCTCAAAGGGTTTCATTTTGTCGTTTCTAGGTCTTCAGTCCTTTCTTTGTCAAATAAATTGTCGGAAATCAACCAAATTAAATTCTTGCAGTTTGGAGTAAACGATCGATTGAGAGAATGCCCAACACAACCGTAGCCAACGGAAGTAATATAATAACTTGTAGCCAGATCTACTATCTGTCTTGTTCACCATCCACGCACACACCGGTGTCATTGTCCTGTGAAACGCAATATATGAATCATTTAAGGACAACCTCGGTATCCCCGCCTCCAAGGCTGCCGAGATCCAAGGTCGACAACGATGAGTACCACATGCAGCGAAATCATTACAGACTCGAATCCAAACTGTGGTCAATGGCTATAAATAGGGTATAGTAACAAGATCTCGGCGTGCTCTGTGTCAAACGACGATGTCATGTTTGTCTAATGATACACTGATATGAATCGAGGTGATTAGAATTGAATAAGACTCGCTCCGGCCCAATTGAGATAACCATCTGCAGAGCATCAACACCCGGGGAAGAAGCATTTCACGCCCGCTGTGGTCTCCGCAAGACCCGTCATCCCGGTGTCGATCACGGGATTTCACTGAAAGCATTAAAGGGACCGGTCACTTATGTCTTGTCGTGCGAACGCAAACTGATTGAATCGTGCATGTGCGTACAAATTTCACCTGTCTTATCACTATCAGGCTGTCTTAGAACTTTGTCGGTGGTTGATTCTGTCATAACCTGCTGGATAATTGTACGACATCAAAATCGTACGACATCTCTAGACGAGTCACGAATTACGCCTTCAGTGGTTGAGAGGCTCGGATGTGGTACAATGTTGCCCCGAACACAACTCAATCTCAACCGCTTATCTCACGTTTGTTTAATCCATGAATTTGTCATGCTTGGGTTCCACTGAGTGACGCTCCGTGGTGTCTGGGCGTGGATTCGCCGCCATGCACGCATGTATACACCTGTAGTTGATCAACCGTTATCAACCTACCGACCCCTCCCCACCGGGGTGCTAAACAAGCCAATGGACGGGAGTCAGGCAAGAGATGATCCAATCTGAGCTGTGTCAGGTCGACTGATCATGAGAAAATGTCGATCCGCTAGCTGTATGGCTGGTATGACGTAGACATATCATAGTGCACGGCATATGACAGTCCAAGCCACCTGCACACCTGTAACGATGGACCACTGCAAAGTTCCTCTAATAGGAGGAAATATAGCTGGTATATACTGGCTATGACTTGATAGACATGTCGGCGGGCCACCTTCGTTTTAGTTTTGGAACATTAAGTAAAATGATGTACATATTGCAACAATAACGTTAAGATCACAAAGTAAGCATGTTTCATTTCGCTGAATGTCAAAGCCCGGCTGACTTCCTGGCCTTCCCGCTGATCCAGCCGTTGTTGATGAGACAGTGTTTATCAATGTTACCATGTGTCTGGGTCAAGGTCTGAAATCAGATATGCAAACTCATCAATCTCATCTATCGGTACATGCTGACAGCTTAGGGGGTGGTACGGCCAAACACTGACACTTTTGGTACAGCTCCGGGGACTTAGCTCACCTTGAAAAGGATCACAGAACCCCCTAGTCTAGTTCGTCTCTGCTGCTCGCACTAAACGCTGCTTGAATGGCACGGGCTCAAACGTATGGTTGAGACGTGACTTGTCAATAGCGTGGAAATACAGAGATCCTCCATTGCATCAGCATCGATACCGATAAGCCTATAGATAGTCCATGTTTGTCCAACAAAATTACCAGTTCAGCCAATGATAACACGACAATTGGAGGTCCGACCAATGATAGCGTGGCAATTAGCGGTCCGACCAATGAGAAAGGGGCAACATTTATGCCCGTCAGATATTTGCATTTCTATGTTTCTTTTGCATCTCAACGTTTTGACGGAGATGGACGGTGCTATAGGATCAGTCTACTGGATACGGGACACACACAAGCACCATACACTGTAAATAGTAACGAGAATGATGTCAGTTGAACGCACAGTCGTGAAGAAGGGTACAGTATGTGGTTCTATAAGAGCACAATAAGAGCAAGTTAGTGTTACGGTCTTCTCCATATCTAAGAGTGACCAACTTAACCTTTTTGGAAACATTAGTTCGACTTAAAAGTTCAAAGTAGCCAGCCCAGCGAGTACGTAACGTCGACAAGCTATGTACAAGCCTGCTGGGGGTACGAACCATCACTGAAGGCAATGGCTTGTTCCCAGACATCAAACATTGCCAAAGAATTCACATACACTTTGTTTTGCCTACATGACATAGTTAACTGTTGTTGAAAGCAAGGTTATGACCTCTTGCACCAGAACGTGATAGAAGATGACATGAGTGGAAGATGGACGTCTCGGCAGATGTGATATCCCACCACACAGTCTCCGTTTCCGACATGTGGGCGCCTGATAACCTTCTTAAGAAAACATTATCTTTGCACCTCTTTAACACAGATGTTCTAGGATATCTGAAGGAAGGGAAGCAAGACAGACATATCTTACTTCAATCTGGAACGATTGCAACAGAACTGGCAATTCTATATAACTGACCCATTTGACTTTGCAGAGTTATGTAAACGATATATGTGTTGATAAATGTTTTGGCATATGGGAGTGTAGTTTTGTACTTAGCCATAACTAGCCAATAGTATTGCAGGGCCATTTGTTGCTGTTCATGCAGATACGGCAGTTTCAATATGGTCACGCATTGTAGAAATATTAAATGATACATTAAAATGCTTTGATACGGCTTTCTGTAGGAAGGTCATAACTGCATACATGCAATAGGTATTTTGGCTAGGCTGCACATTTGGAGCTCAGAATTTTTTCTCATTCTACATGTAGATCTGGTGTTAAGTTTTCGCTCGTTCGAATATCCATGAATTACATCAACATGTCGTAACCCTTGTTGTATTGAGGATCCTGGATTATATTGTTCATTTCTGCAGCATTTGGCGAGAAACCAGATCAACTTGAGCCGGAGGCTGAGCCTACAGCAGTCCAAACTGGAGAATCTCACCACCGAGATCCGGAAGATCAACGTGGGGAGGGAGGTGGTCCAGGGCAGCAGGTGGGTCACTGTCATCCCGTCACACGAAGCCAACTATGTCCTCCCGACCTTCTCCAGACAATGGTTGGGAGTTAGGGGTGAGCAATCTGTGATTGGGAGTTCGTCAGGTTGTTTTCAGGTTGGATCAGAGAGGCAAAAACGATTCCAGGCTACTCCTAGCGCCAACCTCCTTGGCATGGGGCCTGGTCGGGAGCAACGTCGTAAGAAGGTCCTGAATGTGTGACGGAAGTCTAACATTCCTCACTGTAACTTACTCTTGCAATGTATTATTAGTTGTATATTTGTGATAAGTTCATGTCAATTGTGATTCTACCATTAATACCGATGGAGATGAAAGTTGGAATAATCTTTATAAGACCCACGAGCTTATGAATAGAGCCTTTTGTAGTTTATTTTATGTGTTAAGATGTCAAAGGTTAAATAAAATGTAATACACTTGCTACAGACATTGGCAAAATCCACATACCATTTTCCACATCCGCATTGGAAAGGGTTGGTCCTGTCCTAACTTTGATTTTCTTAAGGGACCGAAAGATGTAAAAAAAAAACCGTTTAAAGCAATAATGTACAATGGTTTATTAAAGCTAGGCGTCCACGACAAACTGGTTGTCAAGAGTGATTCCAGCAGTAATCCCTCCGACTGGCAGCTCAGAATAGGTATGGAGAGCGCACTGCCGGTCTAGTTTTACGAGTTTGTGCCTGCAGTATAATACATCTATTCTAGTCGACGTTTATTACCACTCGTAACCATCCGGGAGACCCGGCCGGAGATAGATAGTTTCCTGTGCGGCAGGAGGAACCGCAGGCGGAACATTCACTGGGTAAATTACAGCTAACAGGATTACCCGTCCCGTCATTCTTCGGTAGAAAAGCGGCACCTTGAACTACCCTGACCCGCCGCGCTGCTAGTGGGGATCCGTCTGTACCCGCCGCCGGGTCTGGGGCGCTAATGGGAAAACCCAAGGACACCTCGTTTATCGGTATTACCTGTTGTTATAGACCTGCATGCCTATTGGTGTGGTGCAAAATTGAGATAAAGTAACACATCCATAAATGAAACTGTACGGGTGTCGATGTGATGGGTGCGATCCCAGAAATGTGGTGAAGCGTACTTGTCGCGCTGTTACACTTCATATGGTAACAGTTTAAAACCGGTATCAGCTCAGATAGCTGCCCGACGACCTTCCGGCCACCCTCCATGTTAACCCTGACCCACACGACACTCAGCGGCTGAGCCTGAAAACACACCGGCCAATTTCTGCCGCAGTGTTGAGGGGTCAGAATTACCGCATACGGCAGGGTTAATTTACCAATTATTGCCAACCCCACTCCTCCTAAAAGTAGTCGTCTGGAACTCTTCTGATCCGGAGAGTTTTTCATCTGTTCCCGCGAACTTCACACGGTCTCTGTGACCTTCATGGTTGCCCCACTTCTCAGACGGTGTGTGTTGTAGGTGGGCGCACATGTTAGAACAAAGCTCGAGATCGGATGACCTGGTTTCTAGATTCGCTTACTGGATGTGGCGGATTAGTAGTAACAGGATCGGACCAGGTGGTGGTAATCCACCAGGCGGGTGGTTTGGATTGCGACCAGATCTGGAGACGACAGGACAGAACATCATGCCGTCATGTATCCACCATCGCGAACTTCTATTGGGTTGACGTCAGGAAACGACTCTACCCGATTGGAGGTTCATGTTCAGATCCCCCCCGCAGCTGGCGGTGACGTCATCCATTTTATAGAGAACAGAATTTCAGTTCCGTCCAGCACTAATTGACCAATCCTGACCGTCCAACATAATTGACAGTTCAACCAATGAGAGAAGTTAGTGATTCTACCAACGGGGGATTGGCTTCATTTGCATTAGGGTGATCGGATTGAATGATGTATGTAGTAAATTCAATGACAAATACGAATGAAGGTAGATTTGAAATCCATGATATGTTGCACGATGATTTACGATTCTATAATTTCAATAATTTGACTATCCATTTTTTTCTGCAGAGAAAAAAGTATAGCAGAAATGGAATCCAAGATTCAGACCCAAGAAAAGCTGATCGCTAACCTGACTCAGATCGTCTTCAAACTGCTAATACAAGGTACGAACGAATAGTTATTCTCACGGATGTTCAGTGCCATATACATATATTTACAGTTGTACGAGTCAGGGTACAGATTGCAATGTGGCAGAATCGACGGTACTAATTTAAAAAAGAATACTACTATTCTACCGGTAGAGATCACGATTGGATCTCAGTCGACAGAGACTCTCTGTAACCAGCCGATTCTGCCAGATCGCAATCTCTACCCTGACATATGCATGCATTGATAACGTGTTGTTAGGCTGGAAACAAATGTCTGGTCGGGATTGTTGGGAAAGTTGGGTCAATTACAGACAGTGCTCTACAGGTACATGTGGACTAGACGTTTTTGAAAGACATATAAAAACTGGCCGATGTCTCTGGCAGATATAGATTGAGGAAAAAGGAAGAAGCACACCGTACTTCCCCACACATGCAGTTGTGTATGCAAGAAGAGACTGTTCTCCAGAATGACAAGAAGAGACTGTTCTTCACAATGACATTGTGTCCCCAGACAAGATAGCCACGTATACAAAATAGTGTCAGGCGTTGGCTACAGGGAACCAAGTTAGCCTAGCATCTGTTTGGATAAAGCGTTTTTTCCCCAACCAAAATATTGACCTAACTTTCGTTGACATTTGTTTATTTGATTTTTAACCATAGCAGTCCGACTGATGTCCACACGTAAGTGTTGCGCGCTGACTGACGCGCACGTTGCCCTCCCGCGGGAACACTCAGGATCCCCTCCAGACGAGGATGTTTCCGTTGAGGTTGTCCGAGCGCGTGAGATACCCGAGGTTTGAGATCTGTTCAGAACACATCAGGCACGAACTTGTCAAACATCGTTATAGAATTTCCGGGCACAACCGCCAACTAGAGTCGTGAAATAACAAAACAAATTGCTGAAGTGCGAAAGAGGAGCGGTATTGTTATACCCTGGGGGATGATGAGGGTAAGGGGACAAAATACTGGGACACAAACGTCAGGATTCCTCAAACTGTGAAACCGCTGATGGATAGCAGGGATGTTGAAACCAGCAAAGGAAGTGGTTAGAAAAGGAGAAGGAGTTTCAGCGGTACGAATTAAATGCCGATGGTGCGGATGTTCACGACCCCAGGTCATACCCTAGGCGTCTTCTTCATCCGTAAAAGAAGTTTAGATTCAGCTCTCCAAACAAAATGAACACCTATTCTCAGATACGTCCTTCTGATGACTTAAGTTCTGGGGCAGCTTGGAGAAATCGGGGCCTAAAATCCAATTCAAACGTCGAGCCGGCCCGGAGATTCTTGTTTGTTCTATCACCGTTGCCATCCTCTAAACGATGTTGACATGGTCTTTACAATCGTGTATTTGAAAAGGGATAGTATAATATAAGAATTCATTAGATATTTGATGCTTTGTGCAGAATGTGTGTTTATTACAATGGCGCGTGATAAACTGTGGCTACTGGGCGGGAACTAGCGCTATGAAGATTGTGCAGTGCTTGTTTTCTCCGTGGAGCTGGATTGGCGGGCACCTCTGCAGCGGTACTTTGCAGCTGCGAGACTTCGATTTGCTACATCCAGTGGTCCGTGAAAGCCTTTCATTAAAGGCTCGCGATTCAGCAGACGACACTTAACCTGTGAGGAGACTAAGACGACAGTGGCACCAAGGAGGGTCCAACTGTTGGCATGTTCCCTGTAACCCAAAACCCGTCAACCCTGTCGGCGATTTACCTATATGTCCCTAAATTAGCAAGATCTTTTGACGATCCGTCCTTTTATACGCGTTTTGTGCCAAGTCTTTGTAGTTCACGGCTTGACGGGTCTTTGGTAAGTTCAAGTACTCCGACGAAGTACATGCACGTCGGATTTCAACACAACTGACGAGTTGGAGAACAACCATTGATAAGGGGGTTCAGGGGAATTACACCTGAAAATACTACCCCATTAACTGTCTGTGCTGGTTCTCGACGGAGGAAGTCGGCTCTTTAAATCATTCCCGTTAGTATTGCCTGGCGTGTGTAAGCTTGGCAGTCTTTGAATACATTTTGTCAGGATGGAGAGATGTGGTGTGGGAGTTTTGAGCTACACGCTATAAGCCAGTCTGCGATGGGGAGAGTTACTTACTCGATGAGCCACTTACATGAATCTCGTGTCATTAAAACGTCTTCTGTTACTTCGTGCTTGCCATACCATTTACAGGAGAAATGGCTCCTGTACTAGCAAAGCGTAGACTTATATCGCAACGTGACTGATGGGTTAACGGATGAATGATTATTTTCTTCCAATGGATCCCCCCAAAACACCGTATCCCTTGCCAAAGTGAAGAGTCTAGTATCCATCAATCGCGAGTAAACATGGTTTAACGATGCTTGTTTAACCTTAATGACTCTCTTCACAATTTACAAATCACTTACAGCTAAATACGCTTCTTCTTTTACGGCCGCAACTCAGCCAGCTCTCCGAATTTAGAGAGCAGCTCATTTCAAAGCCGGAGAAATAGCTTTTGAGCGGGATGTTTGTTAAGGGAATTCTAGGTTACGCTAATGGTGGGCACGACAGTCGGGGTTGTCTGCGGGGCACATCCCTATTTGGCCGGCTGGTTTGTTTTTGCTGCGGGCTTGTATCGCTCCTGGTGGTCTAGGTCAGATTAAGGGTCAGTTGTGATCATGAGCTGTGGTGCCGTCCTGTAGTGAACAGGTAGGATTTGTAGTCCTCGGTGGGGCGTCCTCGAGATGGCGATGATCCTGCAGGGAGAGACTGGGTCAAAGATGGCGGCGGAATCCCACAGGGCAGGGATGTGGGAACTGTGCGTAGAAAATGCATTTGACAGCGGTGTTGCACCATGAAAACTGCGTCATGGAAAGGAGCTGGGGTTATGGCTCTCTTTTAGCTTACCTGATGCTGAAGATACAGATGGGGAAAACTGATGAAGATGCGAATCGGTGTGTGCATAATATGCATAGAAAATAATGCTTCTTTAGTATATTAGTATATAAACTTAGTATACTGTTAGTAGGATCTGTGTACGTGCACAACATCATAGCCATAGAATGACTGGTTTCGCGGTAATGGACGAGATATTCACAATTATTCCTGTATGATACTAATACATCTTTCTCTACTTCTCAACATACTTGCTCTTTCCTAGTGGATTTCTATCGCAACTTAGTATTACCTGTTGTTCATCCAGCCGGGATTGTGTTATATATCTGGAGAGAAAAAAGTCCTTGTCAATGACTCAATATTCTAAATTGACAACGATGAAGGTGTATTTTGTGCTTTTGTTACATTACTTTCGAAAAATAAAGGCAGCAGACACACATGTGAGGGCAGGAGTAGCCCTAGACTACCCTTACACCCCCTCCCTGTTGACCAGACTGTTCCAATTGCCCGTAGTTCCCGAGAGTCGCTGGTTTCACTCCGCCGAAACCATCAAACTTGAACGGCGATGACAAAGCCCCTGCGGTACAACCTCCCTGCTTAATTGTACACAAATGTCCATCCTTGACTAAATGCATGTCTGCCTATCCATTACGCCACACGCTGAGACCGGCGTTTTTGGAGTTCTTCAGTCAGACGGGGTCAATTCTGTTTGTTATTTCAAAGCTGTGGGCTACGGTCGTATTTAGGGGGGCTGGGATGGAAATATTTACTGAACATCTATTAGTCACTGTCACAGTCAAATACAAGTGATGCATTGTATAATTGTGCTGACGTTTACGCGTTTGCACTTTTGAAATTATGACCAGATAAGCTGATAATTTACGATTGTAATATCCCAATATGCGTAGACAAATGTGGAATTCATGAAAATATCACCCCCCTGCTGTTATGACGTCATGGTCATAGTCGCGCAGGGAAGGTGTGTATTAGGGGGTGTGGCGCCAATTTGCAGTAAGTCAGACCTGACAGAAGACTAAGCCCTGGTAAAGCCTTGGCCTTCTCGCGTTCTTGGCCATGCCGTTATAGGTCAGAACAATTTTCCCATGTTGAGTGATATCTGGTTGTCTGTTTCCAATTGCGACAAGAAGCCTCGTGAGAATCATTTCGCCAAGTGCTAAACATGTAACCTTGAACCGCCAAGGTCATGTTCCACGATCTGTCAAGGGGAACGGCTAACATTTCCAGACAGCTGAAAGCGGTTAGAGCAGTTGTGCGTCGGTATGTGCCATTCAGCAGGAGTGAGACATTAAAGGTGTTAAGGGGAAGGAGAGCGTTGGCAGGTCGCGCCGAGCGGGAAAGGTCGGTATTTCGGCGTACGGCGGCGTGGTGTAAGCGAAGACAGCCGAGGTGTGGGCGTGTTTAAGACCTTCAGATAACGGTGAAGGCCAATCTTGTCTCTCTGATAGGACGGGAGACAGTGATGATGACACTTGGTGGCTCGGTTAGTCATCTCATGTAAGAGCGTAGGATATAATGAAACATCCCAATAGACTGACTGTAAAATGTAAGGCTCTATCATACTAGTATCAGGAACTCCTCCCTGGCAATGTACTTGAAACGGGACGCGACATTTCGGCTCCCAAATATTCACAATGAAAATGAAAATCAGCAAACCTAGAATCAGACAATTATCCCTACTTGGCCTTCAGGGCACGATACCTTTGATTTTTGCATAATTTCACGAGTCGGTTTTAGTGTCATATTTTGTGGAAAAACGTTCTCAGATTTCGATCTTCACCCTGCGTTTGCAAGTAGCTTTTGGACAATAACCTGCAGTCAAGACGCCTGGTAACGTCAGGTGCAGCTGAAGATTCCACGCACATAGACAACCCTTCTGCCCCCTCTGTGAAGAAGCGCCGTCTGATAGGAGATACGGTAATCTCTCTAAGTTCCGGTTCATCCCTGACCTAAGTTGTAGCTAGATTTCTCTCTCTCTCGTCGGAGAGTGTCTGAAATGTTGCAGCGGATAATTGGAAGGGACAAGGAGATGGAGCTTATGAGTCTGAACGCCTGTCAGCTCTCCCAAGAAACAGTGTTGACTTGTATATAGACTTGACATGGAGTGGGGTACTCGTGCGAACATGAACCAAA